TAGTGGCATTAGTCAAAAATTTTCATGGCTGTGGAAAAATTTTTGACATTCGCCATAAATTTTACCTAATTGGATTAGTAAAAAATTAAAATCACAACTCAATTAAATGCTATTGCACTGAAGTAAAATACTGTATTTAAATGAAATTTTTGATCGAAATTTAGGTGCATAAATATTTTGTTGTAAACACACAATCAAAATGTTTGTTTCGTTTAATTAAAACTTTTTTGCGTTAAAACTTCTTCATGGCTGAGAAAAAGCTTTAACAAGTTTTAGCAAACCGAATACCAATTAATTTTAATATTTTTTATTAGTATTTACAATTTTAACACATACTACATGTATGCATTCTGGTAAAAATAGCTATAACAAAAAATCTCCAACCCAATTATACAGTGTAAAAAAAGTATGTAAGAAAATAGATTAATTAACTTGGTAATCGAAATTTAAATAGCTTTTGTGCTAAATGATGTGCGAAAAAAAAGAATTTATTTTGTGGAATTTCAACTTTCAATATCTATAAAGATTTGCGTTTTTGTTAATGGTGCCAGCACCACTGTGCAACATGTATACATGGCTGAGTGGTACACATGTTGCCGCAGCAGCTCATTTGCCTTCGAAACATTTGCTCCACTTTTTTGCTTGGCACCTGCACCTTTAATAAAAATATTATTTTTCTCTATTAGTTTTTAGTTTTATGTACAAAACTCTAGATTATTTAGGAGGATAACAACAAGTAAGTCTGTTGCGAAGAGGGACATTTTAAAGCTTCAACAATCGCATTTCAATATACAAACATAAATGGACGAGTATTTTCTGAAGACTCGTACTCTTACAGTTAAATGCAATAAAAATTGTTTGATTGTACATAGATTTGTTAACAAGCACTTCTCAACTTACTTACTATACAAACATTTAGGGCCTTCTGGGGTCAACATTTTAATTTTAAACATGCCTAGTTTTTTAATGCAAATTATTATTAATTTGTTATCCAATTCTTGTAATTTGGAATGCTTCATTCTTGCAAATCTAATATTATCTACACAGCATTTTAAATACATATACATTTTCTAATTTGGACATTGCATTTTTTTGTAAAACTTTCACATCAAATAAACATACATACATACATGGTTGTATAAATACTTAGTTTGGTACCTTCGCTCTTATAAATATACAAGAACTCTTACGTATATGGAATTTTGTGAAGCAAGAATTTGCCACAATTTCGTGGTTGGGGTCTCACACTGCCTACAGACTACTCCCTAATGCAATTATCTATATTATATATATATATACTAAACATATATTTTATTCACTTCATTTGCATTGCATATTTGTATGTTTCTGTTTTTTTTTTTTTTTAATTCTTTGTAGTTGCATGCTTGCTGTGCAGCTTTCACACCAATGTGCCAGCGAAACCTAAGTACATTACGTTGTTTGTGAAATTTGCATTTGTATAAGTGTACAAAATTTTAATTACATTCTAATTTGACTACTAAATTTGTATTTTGTCTATGCATTACTTAAAAACTAATTCCCTAAATTTCACATGGATATTATCTAGTGAACCAATTTCAGTTAAATATACACTTCCTATGATCCCAAAGAAAAAAAGAGCGTTTCAACTCAATCGCTGAAAATTTCCACAAAAAAAAAAAAACGGAAAATATTACACATAGTAAATTTTAAATCTTGCAAATGGCTGATCTCAAACTTCGGCACCTTCTTTGGCATCAGTGAGTCGAACCTGAGTCGCCTCTGCCGTAACGCCATTGATGGAGACTTGCTGATCTCGCCAAGGTGTGGTGAGAATTTTCAAGCGCTGCAATTAATTCGCATAAATAAACAGACCTTTGTAAATGCAGATAGAAGATTATTTACCTGCCTCAGGCTACCCGGCGTTTTAAGTATCATTATTATCGCCACCGCGGGTATCATTATAACTGAAGAGCCCGCTATACACCAACCCAACGCATTGGCCCAGGCTGGATAGGTGTAATCTTCGTATGTAAGCGGTTCATAGCCGATCAGGCCATAGACTGTGATGAAAAGTAGAAATAGGGGCGCCACAAAGCGCCAGCATATTTGCCAGTACATGCCTGGTGGAAAGCCGATCATGTCCTTTATATCTTCGCAGAAGCGATTTGTGCCTATAAAAAAATGTGTAGAGGTTAAAAATAAAAATCGATTGCAAACTTTGTACTGAAATCCGCATAAACAAGAAGGCGAAATAATATACTATGTAAGGAGGACAACTTTGCGCAGAGTTGTCAACCGCATAGACGTTCCAAGCTTTTTCAAGCGGTTTATAAATTTTTTATAGGCAACCCCAAGGTAATTCCCCTTTCGGGCCAACACTGCTTAAAAGTAAAGGCATCTTCTTTAGTGACCCACCGTAAATCCACGAAACAGCTATCGACTCAAAGAATACAGCTATAAGTATGGAATATCCCGCTGCATAACGATCCAGTAATTGAAAGAAGTAGAACCCGCCGTGTGTACAACTAGCCAAACCCACGACGAAATATAGCGAAAAAAGAAGAGCAACAAAAATTTCGCGATTCTTGCCGATCTTCGGAAATTCATCACTCAGGGCTGTTATGATGGCTTCAGAACCGCCAAACTGCAATCAAAATATATAACTTTAGAAACATACATACGTATGTAACTCGTACAATATGAAATCGTTTACCGAACTATCCAAACCCAGCGTCAGTAGCATCATAAAAAAGATTAGCGCCCAAAAAGTGCTGCCCGGCATTGTGGCAATCGCCGCTGGATAGACGACAAAAACCAGCCCAGGTCCCTCTGTGGCGACATCTTCAATATTCTGCCCCGATGTGTGTGCCATATAGCCCAGCACGGAAAATATCACAAATCCAGCTATAAAACTGGTGGCAGAATTTATGCAGCTGGTGAGTAGTGCATCCCTGTAAGTTTTTAATGAAATGGTATATTATTTTTAATGCTGGTTTATATTGACAAGTTTAGACATTAATTTTATTATTTTTTAATTTAAATTATTTTTTGTAAAATTATAGTTTATTCTTTACTAAAAAGCGTATTAGTGCAAGTTTCAAACTTTGTGCAATATTAAAATAAAAATCAGCAAACTTTCGTAATTGTTTAAAGATTTTTATTATAATTATTATTTCTTAGGAAGACTTAGAAAATACAGTTTTGAAGTAGTTTTGATACAACAAAATACGAGTTTAGAGTAGCTGCGACTTGTTCTTGAGTTTTGGCAATCTTAGTTAATGGTGTCTGTAATTTTCTTCCACACAAAGTATATATATTCGAAGATTTTTTATACGGAGAAAATGAGCAGCACATTCAACGAAAAAAAAATTGCCAGAAATCAACAGTAAATCTTAGCTACTTTAAACTTTCACTTTATTTACTATAAGTGAATGGGCTAAAAACCTGTATATCAAAAATCTTTACGAAAGTTTGTTGAATTTTTTTGATATTGCACAAAAATTAAAACATTGGTTTCATAAGGCTTTTGTTAAAGAATAAAAAATATTTTTATAAAATACAATAGAATAAAAAGTTGTCGATATCTGTCGTGTCGTATAGTTATGATAAGCACTATAGGTCTGTTTATATAAAATCTACTCACTTATAAACATTATTGTGATATTTATTGTAGGACGCATAGGCCAAGAGCACACCAAAACCCGGTCCCAATGAGAAGAACACCTGAGTCGCCGCATCGACCCACACTTCTGCTTTGTAAATGGCACTGAAGTTTGGATTCAAATAATATCGAATACCCATGGCGGAGCCAGGCAGTGTTATGCCACGTATGAAGAGTATCAACAGCACGACATAAGGAAAGAGTGCCGTAAACCACACAACCTTACCCGATGTGCTAATTCCCTTCCACAGTGAAAAATAGCAGATAATATAGACAACCAACAGGCAAAGGGCCATATCCAGTTTGATGGGGCCAAGATCATCTAAGCCTGTGCTTCGGTTTAGTTCCAGTATATAGCGGCTTGAAATGAAAAAAGATCGACAACTTTAAAACATTTGAAATATTAACTCAAAAACATATTAGTATGGAATACATATGTACATACATAGTTTTAAATAGGACTACCAAGAAAATTTTATAATCATCCTTTAAAGATGTTTTTTCCTTACTTGAAGTATTCCGATGCAGCTGAGTGAAATCGCTCTGTGGTCGTTGCAACTTCTAAACTTCGATTTTCGTTGTAGCTGAATGTCGATTCATTTTGAAATGAAAAATTGGTGATGTTCGCAGTAGCGTTTTGTGGTTGAATTGTGGGCTGCATGGGAGGTATTGTATTTTGTTGAGCTTCGAACTGCATAAAACCCAGACATAAGGTGTAATCAAAGTTGTAAAATATGAATTAAAAAACTATCCGTAATTTTTATACCGGTTTGCAGTAGTCGGAGTTCCATGGGTTTGTACACGATGTCCAAGGTAAATCATTTGTAAACGAAGCAAAGAAGAAACGTAAGCTCCAAGCGATAATAACATTGTAGTAGAAATCAACATAGAAAGCAATAAGCACCACAGCATAGCCGATTCCTATAGATATTGATTGATAGAAAATAAAAAAAGTTAGTTGACAATGTGTGATACTTTTTTCGCATTAAAATTAACGTACCTTTAAATAGAGGCACCAAACGCCCCCAACAAGTAATGGCACCTTTACGATTATGTTGGCCTAATGCTAGTTCCATGTAAAATAACGGTATACCACCGACCAGTAACATAATACAATATGGCACGAGAAAAGCGCCTATAAATATATGTAGATAAGTGATAGAACTTACTAAATATTAATTTTCAACAAATTTTCGGTTTTTATTTATCAGCAAGATATCTTCATGGAATTTCAAAAGGACACAATTTCTCATAAAATTAAATTCAACTTAACTGTATTGTCGGTTAGATTTATGTAAAGAGAATTTCGGATTCTCAAGCTACTAGCACTGGTAGACGATCGTGTGTACCTTTACTTACATAAGTATATGTACATTAGGACGGAGTCATTAAATTTCGAAAGAAAGTGTATTATAATTTTTTCTGAACCAAATAAATTTTTTATTTACAAAATTTTGTGTTTTCTTCATATTTAAGAAACTACTTAACATAACCGAGAAAACAGAAAATTATGTATGCCATTTTTTGATACAATGAAAAATGTATTTCGTCCAAAAAAGATACAATATACTGCTTTTTCTATTTAAATTTGGGACGGTCAAACGTCATTTTTAGTATATAGTTTGTTCGCCATTTTTACGTAGAATTTGAATTTCCCATACACTTTCTTACAAAATTTTTCTCCGATTAAATTACTCCGCCCTAATATCTAAATAATACACCTATTTGCATAGCAACGCTATCAAACTTAAAATTGCACCGCAACTTTACTGCAGTTGCGTCAAAGAATGTATAGGGGAGCTCACGTTGAGTAGCATTTTAGGTGTAAAGTAGCTACCAGTTGTTTTGTTGCTCTTCCAACAACAAAATGCGTGCTAGATTGCTATGTAGAAACTTTACACCTAAAATGCTACGGAAAGTGAGTACCGCTTATGTAATATTGAATAGCGTAACAAGTTCCTATTTAAAGCACGAAAAGTTAATGAATGCAAAGGAATGCATTCGATTCATTATTTCAATTCTCCTTTTACAACTTACGTCCAAAGAATTAGGCTTTATTGCTTAACCTAATCTTCTTTTGACTTCATTCACTTAGAAGTGTTTTTATTATTTTTATGCACTTAAATTAAATTCCCATCGGCTCCAATAGCATAATTTTATCCTCATTAAAGTTTACACAATTAGCCGCTTAAGAAATATTTTCATTAACTGCTAATATACAAGGACTTTATGTACTAACATAAATCTCATTACACTGTCCATGCGGCTATTACAGCCATAATTAAAAAGTAAAAAATATGTGTATGTTCAATACATAGTTATTTGCATACCGCACATGATCTTCAAAAGTGACATAACTCAAAATTTGGCGTTTTTGAAATTATGTACTAACCCTGCAGGAAATGTGTCTAGCTATAAGCTAACTTTATGTTGATAAGGAAGGCACTTATTATCTGTATATTTTCTTTGACGAAAGCTAACTATATTTCTATGGCGAAGGCCGCGAAATAGTCACGGGTGGTTACCTCTGCATTTGATGCAACTAACTTGTAACTAACTTCTTTTGGACATAAAATATCAATAGGAAAAACAAAATATTTTTTTATTTATTTTTTATTTACTTTATTTATTTTATAACATTTCACATTTGTTTCTATATTCTGCTGTAGGTGGTCCCATATTAGAACTACGTCAGACATAACTTCAAAATGATAATATGAAATTTCGATCTCCCTTTTATTTGTACTCATTTCGAAATAGTATTTGCGAAGTGCAGGATATTTAAATAGAAACGCGTTTGAAGAAAAAAATCTCGAGCTTTACTCCTGCACTACTTGTCCACTTGTTTCAAGTTAGCTTTTTATAGCTAACCACAAGTTATATATTTTATAGAAATCCCGCAAAAAAGCCAACTACAAGTAGGTTATTTTTTATCAATTGATATTTTTTTTCTGCAGGGAAATATGTACACAGAGCTTTTATTTACCTTTCAGCATAGGCTGGAGCAAATTTTTGTTAAATATAATTTGTTGAAAAAACCTAAGGTGCCCATATGATTAGCATGTGCTAAGAAATAGTTTTTCGCCTTTTCTGTCGGACGTTCAATTTTGAGTTGTATCACTTTTGAAGATTGTGTGCGATTTGTATGTATAAGGCACCTATTATCTCCATGAGCAATACAAAACTTATTAAAAATATTTACAGGCTACCATGCCCAAGGACATGTATAAATTTAAGTACGTAAGAACATATACATATTTATTTAGATAAGCGCGTAATTATGAATGTGTCCATTAGCATCTCTAAGGAGAAACATTTAGTTTTGTGATTGAACGCTATAAATATGTACAATGTGCTCAAATACATGTATAGCTCTTAGAAGGACAAGCACGACAATGAATATAAAAATTAAGCAAAATGAGAGCATATCATCATCTACACTGTTTATTAAATGCTTCACTTGCATTGGCGCATCTGTTATTTGTTCATGATCCGAGCTTATACCCGGACTTGTGGTCATCGGAGAAGCTTCATTTTACACTGTAGGGCATTTTCAGTTTTTTTCTATTTTTGCCAAAAACGTCCGCTGGGTGCACCATGATGCATAAAACATGGAATGGATATGAAGGAAGAGTGCAAACAATGTTTCTTAATTTTGTTTGCCCCTAAGCGCAAAAAAAGATGACCCAGCGGCGGTAAAAATGAATTGCAAATTCCTTGGACCAAAAAATCCTAGAAAGGCCTTTTGATGTTATAATATTTGCATTAAAAATTACTTTTAATTGTTTTAAATGATGCTCTGCAATTACCAACTTCAAATTAAGAAAAACGCTTAAAACCGCCAACCTGGGAAAAGTGAGAAATTACTTTCCTATATATCTACATACAATCCAGACTTTTCGAAAAACTTTGTTTCAGCAATTCCCCAGCCGACTGCCGAACAGTGTAACTTTTGAGAAAAGTGGTAAAAATAAAAAACATACTTTTTTCATTGGTTTTTATGTCGATTTTTATCAAACTACTCCCGAAATGTGCTTTTTTAATTCAGTATTCATTTCAATTCTTCTATTTAATATTATTAGTATTGGCCATGTTGGCTTAATGCCAATATAAGGAAAAACACTCTGTCCGGAAGACTTTTCTTCAGGCATTTTAAGTAATTCGAGGATAGCTCGTTCCTTGTCATTTTATTCGTCAGAAGGATCAACTGCCAATCATAAAGTAGATTGTCTAACTCGCAACCTTAGCCAACAGCCAATTAATAGGCTGAACGCTGGAAAAGTCACACCCCGATTCAGTGCACTTGATAAAATATAAACATTTTATAATTAGTACTTTTTTTATTATGTATCAAGAATTGGATTCTAGCACAGAAATCGAAAGCTCATTTCTTGATAAATTATCAAGATTGATAATGCTATTGACAGGCGTTCACCTACTCAGGCATCTACCTACTCGACTGCGGCATGCCGCGGCCGTCAAAAGCTTTTGTTTTTAAATTCATATTTTTCATATGCGATGAAATCAGTTCCGTTCAAGTCATGTGGAAATTGTAGAGCTTTTTTTTATTTTATAAATATTGACACAGAATTCGATGGGAGCTTTTACTTGATAAAATGAGGTGATTTTCCAGACAATTTTAGTGGCGATTAGTTGAATCAAAAGTTTGGCTGCCCCCCAATTTCAGTGGAAGCTATTAGTTGAAAGGCCGTTCACACCAGGCGATTGTTGCTTTCAAATAAAAATTGCCTGTAAAATCGCCTCATGTAAACACCGTATCAGTCTATCTATAGTTACGTTAGTTTGTTCTGATTCGGGGGGTAAGGTTACTCATACCACACGTATTCCTTGCTTGAAGAAATTCTTTAGTCATAAGAATGTATTGCATATTGGATCGTCTCCAAAGACATCGTCTTCCATTATCCAAATAAAACTATCTCAAATAATAAGTTAGCGAATTTTCTTATTTTTTTGAGTATCCCCATAGTGGGTGTATGAGTGTATAAAGGAGATGCCAATTAGCAAATGTGTAACCGAAAAATATTTATTTATTTATTTAATGAGCGCACGCAAGGTTTTCAGTCCTTCGTCAAAATCAAATACAAATCAACAATCAAATTCGGTGTTCTCACATACTAATGAATGTTTTTAAAAATACCTAAAACAAAAGACACACTTCCCGTAGGTTATGTATTAGTAATTAAATAAAGAAAAGCATAAAATACAACTTTTATAATCACCAACACAGACAAACGAGTAATATAAACGTCATTTCTAGCACTTATAATAAAATAGCTTTTTCAAGAGCAGCATAATATAACCATAGACTGCAAAATAATATTAAAAAACTTTTATTTATTCCATTATAACAACTTCAACTTTTTCAACTTCATACATTTTTCTAGTCAAGCTCAGCTATTATTCACTCCTCCCATATTCCTCTTGATTTTATCTTTAGTGACGCCAGGACAGCCTAATTTCCTTTTTCCGTCCATCAACGCTGTCACAGCCATTACCGCACATTTAACACCCCATAATTTTTTTCTGTCGTCCGACCCCCCCGCTCGCCACATCTCATGCAACGCCTTTGTTTTTTTACCACACTTTCGCTTCAGATCACTTAAAAAAGAACCAATATGATTCTGATGATAGTACAATATAAATCTAATTTTAAAACAAAATATTCACTTTACGTGCATACACACACTTATTATGTAGATACATGCATACATATGTACCTAAATGTATATGTACGTATATATTGAAATCGACATTTTTAGTCCTATTGGCTTTGTTCTTGTGTCGACTCGATAAATGAAGTACACTCTGCTTTGGCTGACAAAGTCATGCTCCTCTTTCGACATCAAACATCAGCAACACTGCTACTCACCCAGTAAACATACCTACATACATCCATATAAAAGCACACATTCCCATTCGATATTTACTGAGGTGATTCTTTATATATATGTACTTTATTGTTGTAGGCCAATGCAAATTCGATGGTTGCAATGCTTAGCATTCGGGTTGTTCGGGTATGAAGTAGCCGTGTCTTTAAGTGGCTGTATATGTGTATACATATGTATGTATGTAAGTAGCTTAATGACGTCACCTAATCAAATTTCCTCTTGAAAC